CTCTGCTACAGCCATTTTGTAAAGCGTTATAGGCATTCGGACTTGAATCACAAATTTTTGTTATATACTACATTTCGTGATAATTTTTTTTTCATTTTCCCAGGCACATGTAGTTTAACTATCAATTCTGAAGCTACTATAATGAACAAGCTCTTTCCAGTTCAACATTACATGTCAAAGTCTCTGCCTTACAAGGAAGGGGGACAAATTTTAAACAGTGATCGAGCCATTGAATACTGGACCTTGTTTAATAAGTTGTAGAACAACAACAGAAAAGAGTAAAGAAAAAAAGTGTTTGTGCAGCTAAAACTTGGATATTAAAGCGGTCCATTTATTCACCTTTTGAATCTTGATGAATCCTCTATTTGTTTTGGGGTCTGTCTCTATGAAGAAAATTTTTCCTGGGTCCCCCTCTTCAATCTGGTAAATGATTTGAGAGCTTCCAGTGAATGGCTCATCTACATCAGTAGCTTGAATTTCTTGTATTACATTTCCTATTGGAGTATCTTCTGGAATAGTCACATTACCATACTAAGGAGAAAAGATCATTAAAGCATAAGACACTAGGAAACATATAAAGAAATAAACTTCAGTGCTACAAGCAGCTAGTGACCCACAAACAGAAAACCTGTGACAATTATCTCCATTTCAGAAAGACATAAGGGGTGACTTTACGTGTGCTCTGGGATTGTGGAGGGAAGAGGGGGGCATCTTAATTAGAGGGGCTCTAAGAGCCCCTCTAATTAAAGCTCCTGCAATGTCTCATGAATTCAGCATCCTGCACTTCAAAACGGCAGTGGGGGCACTTTGACTAAAGCTCATTCAACAAGCTTTAGTTAAAGCATGGGGATGCTGAATACATGAGATGCAGAAGCTGCTGAAGTGCATTAATTAGCATGCTCCAGCTTGATTAATCAAGTCTTAATCTGACATGCTGTAATAACAGTGTGTCAGAGCAGTGTCCCTGCACATCTACAGGCATGCAGTGAAATTAAGGGATAATCACACCTTCCTCCTTGTTTTTCTGCATGGTCTGATCCAGCAGATTTGTTCTAAGAATGCCTACTGGATTGAGACAGGCAAGGTCATACCTATTTTGTGATTCCCAAAGGGGCTTAATCACGAAGTCAGCACCTAGATGTTGGTCAAAGGGATCAAAGGGAGCAGAAGGGCACAAAAGCCCCCATGGCTCACCAAAAGCATCCGGGGATGTCTTCTAGCTAAAAGGGAGGCGTACACCCAATGGAAGGGAGGATTATACTGCGGTCGCTCAGGGATGCAGGGGAGCAGTCAGGAAGGCCAAGGTGGAGATGAAACTGGGACTAGCTTCCCGGATCAAGGACAATAAGAAGTCCTTTTTTAAATACACAGGGGGCAAAAAGAAGGTACCGGGTAACGTGGGGCCCCTGCAAGACACGCTAGGAAATTTGGTCATCACACCAGACAACAAAGCTAACCTATTTAACAACTTCTTTGCCTGCATTTTCCTGAGCAGGGACCAGATCAACCCCCGCACTGGGCCCCCCTCAGGCCCCAGGGGAAGCACACCTAGGCCAAGGGTCAGGGAGGATCTAGTCAGGGAACTTCTGGAGGGACAGGATGTATTTAAATCAGCTGGTTCGGATGATCTCCACCCCAAAGTGCTGAGGGAATTAGCTGAGGTCATTGCGGGACCCCTGGCACGGCTTTACGAGCACTCGTGGTGCTCTGGTGTGGTGCCAGAGGACTGGAAGAGGGCCAATGTGGTTCCCATCTTCAAAACAGGGAGGAAGGAGGACCTGGGGAACTATAGGCCAGTTAGTCTTACCTCGATCCTGGGTAAGCTTTTTGAGAGAATTATTCTGGCACATATCCACGAGGGACCAGCAGGGGAAATTATGCTTAGGGGCAACCAACACGG